TATTTGGGTCAAATTTAGAAAAAATTGACCATTTGATTGATGATTCGTACAAGATTAAAACTTCTTAGTTGTTCCTAGGTAAATCTATAAATAGCACCTTAGCTAGGTGGTGTGCAGGTGTGTTTTATTCACCTGATTTTCACTTATCTAAACTTATCATATCTAATATGAACTTACTAGGCCTTATCAAAACTTATTTTAGTTTTTTTTTTTTTTTTTACAAAATTTCCAAAAAAAGAAAAGTTTTTTTAAAAAACCACCCCCGAATACACCACTTTTGTAAAAAAAAAAATCACCCCTTTTTTTTATGAAAAAAAAACCACCGGCAAAACCCAAAACTAGTAGGAATCATCACCCCTACCCTATTCCGGCTGGTTTTCGTCTATTCCGGTTTGTTTTCCGATTAAAGATCCACGTGTTACCACCCTATTAGTCAAAATTATTTTTTTTTTTATAAAAAAATCCCCAACCATCCCACAGCAACCACCCATCCCCTTTCTCATGCCACCGCACCGGAGAAACCAACCCACCCGAACGAACCACTTGCCGAACGACCCCTACCCCAACGCACCCACCTCTGCCGGCGAATGACCAAGCCCCCCACAAGTATATATAGTACCTTCTTCTTCTTCTTCTTCTTCTTCTTCTTCTTCCCCTTTTCACTCCATTGAAATGCACTTTGAGTTCTTCATTAAAGCTGCTGCACTACGCTTTTCTCTCACTCCATTGAACAATTTCCGTGGTAGGATGAATGCCGCAACTGGTTAATTGCGACTGGTATTGCGAATTGTAGGACACACAAAAATCTAGGGTTTTGAGGAGAGAGAAAGGGGGAACATTACAACGAAATTGGACGGGGCTTAGTGGTCGGACAAGCAGGTGTGGGGATTGGTGGGATTCACCGGAAGGGATAGTGGTTGAAGGTGGTCCGACAGGTGGCTGTTATGGGTGGAGTGGTAGGAGAATGGAAATCGGGTAGCAATTGGGGTTAAAGTTATTTTTATTTTTATTTTTAAATGATTTTATTTTGTTAATTTAAGCCAATAGGGGAATGGCACGTGGATTCTTTAGTTGGTAAACAAACCGGAATATAATAAGGATGGTGATCCCTAATGGTTTTGGGTTTTGCAGGTGTTTTTTTTTAAATTTTTTTTTCTACAAAAGTGGTGTACTAATTTCTAACAAAAAAGTAAGGCTTTAAAAGCAAAACCCAAACCCTTTGGCTCTTAAATCATCTGCTTTCTCTTCCAACCAAAACCGTCGCAGCAACAACCATCACTCTCTACTTCCCAACACCACCATCTTCTTCTTCCTCTCTTTACTTTCTCTCTCCTCCCTCTACTTTCTCTCTCCTCAACAATGAGCAGTTGTTTATGTTAATGTTAATATATATGTTAATGTGCTGCCCACGTGCCGGCACGGCCCATACCCACATTTAGTTAACGCTGTAGACTACTACATCTCTTCCCCCTCGACCACCAACATCAGGATAGTTCCAATAGTAATTTGTAACTTCAACAAATTTATAATCTTCCTTTACTGTGTCATATCCGAACCCAAAACTCGTCCACGAAAAACGTCCTTCATCTTTGAAATCCATCCCATTAGGAAGCTCTTTCAATTTAGGTTTTATTATGTGCCAAGTATATGTTTATGTGATTAAATGTACTACCCTATGATGTTATGAAACACTTTATTATTTGAGTACTAATATAAGTATTTTAGAAAATTTAATTAATTTGGTTTTATATGATAGAGTCTTGATTAAAATTTTGAAGCTTATGTATTGATGGTTTTCTAGCTAAACCTTTTAAATTACTTGGACGATGAGTTATATAACTGAGTAATGGACTAACTAACGCATTGAGACACCAAAAGAATTATAACCTACTAACTGATTCTGTTAACAGATTTTTTTGACAAATGAAATAATCTTTAATTTGTTTTACATTTTCTTGAAACTAAATCACTCATCATTATAAAACCCCTTGAAAACCCCATCATGCATAATTATTATAAAAAATTCATCATCAAAATTTCACTTAACTTCATAATTCATTTTATTAATTCGTAAAAAAAATTCAATTCTATTTACACTCTTTTTTTCCCTACCCAAAAAAATAAAAATTCAGTTCTTTAATTCATTATTGAGATTTGATTTTAGATTGAGTTTTCTCATAACTAAACAAATTCATGGCGCGACAATTTATATATGTGATCCGAATTTTTCACTGTTTCATTTGATTCATCATTAAATGCTGAATTGATCACTTTCATCGTCAACGTTATTTTGATACCGTGTCATGATTTATCATTTTATTTTGGTTTTTTGATTTATGTGTTATCTTTACATTCAATTCAGGCATGTCATGAGAAAATACTGATTTATTTAGAATTTAATTATTTAATATGAGAATAATAATATGCAAATTTTAAATAATGTATAAATACACATAATTATATGAGATAATAATGTGCCATGTAATATTTACGTAGTTACACATAACTTGTTATTTTATAAATAATTTCACGTAATTTGTTAATTCACAAACTTTGATAATTTTTGTTTTAATTAATTTTTTTATATCTTATAACTAATTTTATTTCAATAATAATATCAATGAATTACACAAGATTAAGTTTATATATTATATAAATATATTAGAGTTACCATATTAATCATATAAACATAAAAACAACATAAATACATTTTAATAATGATTTACAAAAAAAATTATACTCATAATTACTTTTATAGCAAAATATATTATTGTTTTTAATAAATTATATTTATTTTGTAATTAATTAGGAATATGAATTTAAATGTTTTATATCAATAAATTTATTTTATTTGATTCAAAGTTAATTTTAATATTTTAAACCCTTTTTTTAAAAAAGCTCGATTCGTTACTATTGTCACCTTAAATTATTTACTACATCCGCTTCTTATTACTCGCAACAAAGTACAAGAATGCGAAGGCCGAGGCAAAAGATTGAAGGGGGATTAATTAAAGGGAGGGGTAAAGTATTAGGGGAGTTAAAAGGGGGGGAAAGGGAAGTGGTCCATGTGCAGGAGAGAGAAAGTGAGGGAGGGAATCTTTTAGAGTGGGGATTAGGAGTAGTAATGTTGTGAGTTATAAAATAAGTAAGGGTGAAATGGTAAATTTATAAGAAAAAACCTACCATAAAAGGAAAGAAAGTAAGTTGTTGCGAGTAATGTGAACCTTCCAAAAAAGGAATTTGTTGCGAGTAATAAGAAGCGGAGGTAGTATATGTGTTTTTTCTATTTTTTATTATTATATAAATTAAATATATTAAATATTTACTGTTGTTGTTATGTTGATTTATGTGTATTTAAAAAAAATGTTGATTGATATGTATTTTTCTTTCTTTATAATACAGTTGTGTTATACATAATAAGTATTAATTAAATAATTGATCATCACGTAATATTCTTGTTTAGAAAATTTATGTTTAAGGACATTTTGAGTGGTCGATTTTTGTTTATAATATATTTTTAAATAAAAAGTTGTGAAAAAATGACTTTTTAAGTTATACTATTTCTTGAGGGGGTACAAAGCTAAATCTCACGTGCGAGTCACGTGAGTTTAAAAAGAAAAACCACGAGTTCTTTTTAGGAATTATGAAAGGGTAAAAAATGAAAGGGGTAGTTCTAAAAGGAGGGAAATTTGCAGAAAAAAGGGGAAAAAATATTTGAGGTCTTAAAAATTGATTCACTAGAAAAATAAGGTAATTTTGTAAAAAAAACGGGTGTTTTTAAACGTCGCCCTCATTGTACATACTAATGTCCGCATTTTAATTTTAAATCTTAAATGTACCATTTTGGCCCTCTCTCCTTCTCACTCTCATCCAGCCATCACCTCTAATTCTCCATTAAAGATGGCTTATGAGCTTTTTGAAGGATTTATGTATTCGTCATGTGCAATTACTAGATATATAAATGGATCAAATTATGGAGATAATTAAGTTCGTACATTGGGTCGTCATCATATCATAACTAGAGATACTAACGATCTTTAGGCTAGTAAAATAGGCCAAAGCCCAATTGGACGGATCCTATAAGGTCACACAAAGGGCCTATATCGAGCATTAGTGGATGAGGCCCATGAATCCATGATGGGCTTCATCACTCTAGGTGGCCAGCCATATGGAGGAATAAAAAGAGTTTTGGGCTTCGTTACCTAATCTAATACCTAATCTAATTATAATAGGATTATAAATAGACTAGGTGCTTAGGGTTTGACAATAACAATTCAATGATCAGTAAGATCAAAACCTAATTAGCAAACATGAAACCTAACCCCCTCAAACTCCTCTCTCTCACGACTCTCTCCGCCTCCTCCTCCTTGGCGCCTACTAAAGGTGGTGATTGCAGTTTTCCCCTTCACTCGACCAATCTAGTATTGGTGGACGGCTCGTTCGAATCTCGTGGACTAAGTAGAGGAGCAACACTTGGGGCTCTATTTTCTCCCTGATTTGCCGATTAAATAGCTACGTGGAATTCACGCTTCAAAGGTATAATTACGTGTCTTGTGTGTTATGCATGCGATCTTGGTTTAGGTGCTGATGAATATGATTCATGTTTTCCGCACAAAGTACCTAATAAAGTCTTACTCTTTTATCCATTGATACACACAATCATTATAATATAATAATAAATTATACATTTGCATCAAAAAAGTAATTCAATATACATAATTCCCAAAGTACCACAACAATCAATATGACAAAATTAACATGTAACTCACCCATGAAATCAGACCCACCCACCACGAAGACCTATCCCCACAAAACTCACGCCACCCCCCCCCCCAAACTAGATCTGAAACCCCTAAAACCACCCCCATGAAACAGAAGAACCCAAAACCCAAATCCACAAAATTTGTTGCATATAATAGGTAGCTTTCTAAAATGACAAACGTTAAGAATAACCGTTAAAGGCGGAAGTATTTTTTTGTAAAAAACGGTTTACAGGATTTCCAAAAAAAATGTGTCTTTAAAAGAAAAACCCAAACCCAAACCCAAACCCTTTGGCTCTTCTTTCTTCTGCTTTCTCTTCCAACCAAAACCGCCGCAGCAACCACCGTCACTCTCTACTTCCCAACACCACCATCTTCTTCTTCCTCTCTCTACTTTCTCTCTCCTCACTCTCCTTTCTCTCTCCTCAACAATGAGTAGCTGGAAAACCTTAATCCTCCGAATCGGCGAAAAATGCCCAGAATACGGCGGAACCCTAGATTTCAAAGAACACATCGATTCTTGTTACGGCATTCTCTGGCGTGAATTAGACCAACAAGAAGACCAACAAATTCTGTATTACCTTCTTCAATGCGCCGAACAATTACCCCACAAATCCCCCTTTTACGCTACTTTAATCGGGTTGTTAAACCTAGAGAAGGAAGAACTCGGCAAATTGGTTGTTGATACTACACGTTCCAACTTACAAGAAGCAATTCAATCTGAGAATTGTGATAGGATTCGTGTTTTGCTGCGATTTATCACTGTTTTGATGTGTAGTAAGGTTCTTCAGCCGGGTGCTTTGGTGGTTGTGTTTGAGACGCTGCTTTCATCGGCCGCTACGATTGTCGATGAGGAGAAAGGAAACCCGGCTTGGCAAGCGCGTGCCGATTTCTATATTAGCTGTATATTGTCTTGTCTTCCGTGGGGAGGGGCTGAGTTGATGGAGCAAGTTCCGGAGGAGATTGATCGTGTTTTGGTTGGGATTCAAGCTTATTTGAGTATTAGGAGACATGTTACGGATGCCGGGTTTTCGATTTTTGTGGATAATAGCAAAGATCAGAGAGCAAATGATAAGGTATACTTTAATTGTGTTTTGTTTTATTGGTTTCATTTGTCATGTTTTATAGCATTCATTCAATTTAATTGCGCAAGATTAGTATGTTATGAAGAATTGTGGTGTTTTAGTGGATATGTTACTGATTAGTTTTAGGTATTTCCATAGTTTTATTTGTTTGGAAGGTATGGATGAAGGGTATTGCAAAGAGGGTGATAGGAAGTCAAGGAGAGTAATGGACAATGAGGGTACTTATTATAAGCTGTGAGCTAACCTTTAGAGGCGACGTGAAATTCCAATCTTCGAGTAGGCCTAAAAAAGTGCATAATCAGTTAATCACCATCACCATCACCTATGGACTTATGGTTCAGTGGAATAGCATGAGTAGTTTGCAGGGTAAAATCTCTATGCTGGTCCTTTGACATGAGTTTAGGATGATTTGTTTCGGTTATTAAACATTCTGCTCCAACTACAAGTTTGGATATATTTCCTGATGGATGTGGATCATGGATGCCAATTATCATATACATTGTACTTAGTTGATAGCTGATTTTGGCCATTGACCCTTGTTATCCAAGTCTCTGTGTCGGGAGGGCTTTATATCCACATTGCCACCAATAACCTTCTTCGAATAGACAATAGATCTTTTGCTGGTCACTGAAGATCATAGGTTACATCTTTTTAACCTTTTTTTCCAAAGTATTTTTTTTTTTTTTATAAATTTTATTTATAAAAATGTATAAACCTTGACTTTCAACTTTTCAAGCTACTAAGCTGTGAGGCTTTCATCATATTGTTTGACTTTTATTGGAAATTAAGACCAAAAGATGGTTTTGATTCAATCCTGTAGTGCTATCAAAATGAAAAAAAATAAAAATAATAATAATAATAAAAAAATTCAATCCTGTAGTTACTGCAGCTGTGGAAATCTAATACTGTAGGTCTGTAGCAGTTCTAACATAGAAGCCTCATTGTGCCTGTTTAGAATCACCAGAGTTTAAATAATTACCATACCAGATGGTGCATTTTTTTTTTTTTTTTTGGTAATTATGAACCTCTGTTTCCAACTGCATATCACTTTATACTGCTATCACTTCCCCTGCTATGCTCTAAAACCTGATCAGCCGCCTATTTCCTGGAAGGTTTTCATCACTCAGATGACTATTGTAGTTACTCTTTTTTATCAGTCTTTTCATCTTTGGAATCAAAGCCCTCAGTTTCTTTCAAATTCTCAACCGCCCTTCTTTGTCAGTGGTTCTGCCTCACTGCTTCTAACAATTTTTAAATGATAAACCACAATTGTTACAAAAAGTTCAGGACTTGGGAGTTGGGAGCTGCTAGTACTACATATTCACTGTCCAATATCAACCTCTCTATTTCTCATTCATTGCATTTGCCTTGAAAGTCTGATAATATCAGTTCTAACTCGGGCCCTAAGAGATCCATCCTTTCCCTACTCATCCTCCTCCACTTGAAAAACCTCCCCTGACCCCACTCTTCTTCTTTCTGAAGTCTAAACGTAGTTGCATGATTTTTCTTATCTCCTATGAATCGTTAACCAAAAGAAGTAAATTTATACGTGAATTTGTTAAATTTTTGCCTATTTTAGCAATAAGCTTCTGTTGATCATATTTTAGAACAATTAAAAGTGTAGCTTAAGCACCTTTGACAAAAATTAAGAAAATTCTTCTCTTCTGTCAAATGGAGAAGAATTGGATGTTGATATAGCTCTTTGTACCGTCCAAACCAGGTTTGTTTTGGTACATACAATTAAGGACACTAAACATCTACCTCTCCGTTTTTGTAAGTGACACACTAGCTTCCGTGCAGAATTTGATGAGAAATGTATAGAATGTATAGGTAGGGTGATTTGTTGAAGAATTAAATATTAGATTGTGAGATGAGAGAAATATGAGTAGTAAAGAAGGTAGAAATGAGGACCATGAGGAGAGAGAAGTAATTTAAAATGTAGTAGTGGAGACCACAGGTCCACAGGAGAGAGAAATATCATTTAAAATGGCATTCTGTTTCCATAAAGGAGAAGTATGTCACTTTAAAAAGGAGGTTTAAGGGAAGTGTGTCACTCAACTTGTCTTCCAATTGTCTTGGTTCTACAATCTTAATTTCACCTACCATTTTTTGTGATCACCTCTGCCATGAAGGCTAGCATAACCCTTCTCAAGGGAATTCAGCTTGAAACTTTAAGATTCCTTTGTGTAGTTAGTTATCATGGAAGAAAATGAAGGGAATTTAACGTTCAAAATTTCATTCTATCCCAATTCCTGCTTCCACCAAATTTGGTGGGTAAAAAGTGAGGTTTTTATGCAGTCTTTTTCTTTTTGTTTCTACAATTGTTGAAAACCAGACACTATAAAGCTACTCCTTCCGTCCCACAATACTTTGGACGTTAGAGGGAGCACGTAGTTTAATAAAAATCTAAGTGGGTCTTTTTAATATATTTCTTTATTGTAGAAAGATGCTCTTTTGGATTTTTTTTATTGCTAAAAAACTAAGTGGGGTAAGCAGTGGGCCCATAGAGAGTAAAGAAAATAATTTTATGATAGTGGTCCCTTTCCAAAATTGGAAATGTATCAAGTATTGTGGGACGGCCAAAAAAGGGAAGTGTGTCAAGTATTGTGGGACGGAGCAGTTATTTCTTTTCCTTTAATCAAGCATTGTGGGACGGCCATAAAAGGGAAGTGTGTCAAGTATTGTGGGACGGAGGGAGTATTTCTTTTTCTTTTATTACTTTAATTTCTTTTCCATTTATACCAAATAAAATTCAAAGAATAAGTCGTTTGTCTGCCTACTCACAGCTCTATTATAGAATATGCGTACGACATGGGCTTTGATTTGTCCACTGGGTATAATGAATATGGTGCTGTACACAACCTAATTTATGAGGAATAAGAGATCATGCACTTAAATGTTGTAATCTCTTATTATCTTTTTAGCCCCTAGAATCAGCTACGAGTGACAGTTGATCATGAAAATCCTTTTAAGAAATTTTTTAGTCTATTAAGCTGAAAGTCATACCTAGGAAGTTTGAAAGAGAATATAATGCAGTTAGCAATCCATTCCTCTTGTATATATTTGCCCCTTCCTCTCTGAAATAAGTATATGAGGCAGTAAAACTTTGTGATACAATCCATTCCCCTTGTGTATATCAGGCTTTTCCCTCCTCTTTGAAATAAGTATATGAGGCAATAAAACTTAATGATACGTTTCATAGACTATGTATATCCTTTTAGCTAATCTTTTCCCTCCTCTTTGAAATAAGTATATGAGGCAATAAAACTTAATGATACGTTTTCATAGACTATGCATATCCTTTTAGCTAATCTATTATTGTCAGGATGTTATTGAGATGAACTTGGCTTGGATTATGGCATTCCAAACTAGATCAATTTCATGAATAAATTTTGAGCTTGAGGGCTTAATTTCTGTAATTTTTCTCTTTATGATAGTTACCCAATGCCTCTTTGTGGTGATGTATCTTTATCTGTGTTCCCTCCTTGTGTATAAGAGGGAGACATTTTATGGCTTTTCTGGATATATTTTCTTAGTAAAAAGTAAGAATAATAAATATAGTAAAATGTCTTGCTGGATTATCATAAAAGTATCTTTCTTTCTCCCTCTTGTATGTATCATTGTCAATTTAATTTTCCTAAAAAATAGTGTCATGCTAGTTAGTTACCCTATGAATTGAGGGCATATCAGAAATAGGCTCTTTGCAGCTATTTACACTTGATTGTTGATTCCATTTACACTTGATTGTTGATTCCATTCCCTTTATATATTGCCTTGGGATGGGGGCATTTGGCCTTATTAGAGCTTGAGTGGTATTTGGATGATTGGTAAAGTTTTTGTGGCATAGACTGTATACTGACTGACTGTGTTTAAAACATAAAAGGACCAGATTACAATTAAATGGAGTATTGAAAATTTTGCATAAAAAATATTGTTCAAGCTATCGACTGACATAAACGTATTTACTAATTCTAACAAAAAGGTGGCATGATGTTTCTGTTGTATAGAAAAGACCAACTCATCCAGCTTTATCGTTTACTTTGCTATTAAAATGAGAATTCTGCGAATCACACTTACGAAAAAGGAAAACTATAAAATGTTAATTTTGCTGTTCCTCATATTTATTTGCTTGAATATTTTTTTCCAGGATTTTTTGGAAGATTTATGGAGTCGAATCCAAGATGCATCCAACAATGGGTGGAAACTTGAAAGTATTCCACGGCCCTACCTCTCTTTTGAAGCGCAGCTTGTAGCTGGAAAGTCTCATGATTTCGGTCCCATTAATTGCCCTGAGCAGCCAAGATTGCCGGCTGCTGCTTCCAGTGTCAGCTATGGTAGACAGAAGCATGATGCTGATCTAAAATACCCGCAAAGAATTCGCAAGCTGAATATATTCCCTCAAAATAAACTGGAGGATTTGGCACCTATAGATCAGTTCATTATGGAAGAGTATCTGTTAGACATTTTACTGTTCTTGAATGGTTGTCGGAAGGAATGTGCTGCTTATATGGCTGGCCTTCCTGTACCCTTTCGTTATGAGTACCTCATGGCAGAGACTGTCTTCTCACAGCTCCTTTTACTTCCTCAACCACGATTTAAACCAATATATTATGCTCTGGTTATCATGGATCTTTGTAAGGCTCTGCCTGGAGCATTCCCTGCAGTTGTAGCTGGTGCAGTACGTGCTCTTTTTGATAAGATTGCTGAACTGGATATGGAATGCCGAACACGACTCATTCTTTGGTTTTCACATCATCTATCTAATTTTCAATTCATTTGGCCTTGGGAAGAATGGGCCTATGTCTTGGAGCTTCCAAAGTGGGCTCCCCAACGTGTATTCGTTCAGGAGGTTCTGGAAAGAGAAGTTCGATTGTCTTACTTGGAGAAAATAAAGCAAAGTATTGAAAATGCCCCTGGCCTAGAAGAGTTGCTTCCTCCAAAGGGTGGTCCAAACTTCAGATTCAATGCTGAAAATGGCAGAAACAAACCTGAGTGGCTTGCATTATCTGAAGACCTCAATGGCATGGTTAGAGGTAGGCAAACTGCAAGGGAAATCATATCATGGATAGATGAAAATGTGGTTCCTGTACATGGATTGGAAGTCACTCTTCAAGTAGTAATTCAAACTTTATTGAATATTGGATCAAAGAGTTTTACTCACTTAATGACTGTCTTGGAGCGTTATGGCCAAGTCATTGCTAAGGTATGCCCAGATGAGGACAGGCAAGTAATGCTAATTAGTGAAGTGAGTACCTTCTGGAAGAATAGCACTCAGATGAATGCCATAGCCATCGATCGTATGATGGGTTATCGTCTGATTTCCAATTTAGCTATTGTGAGATGGGTCTTCTCTCCTGAGAATGTGGATCAGTTCCATACATCAGATCGGCACTGGGAGATTCTCAGAAATGCTGTAAGTAAAACCTACAATCGTATTTGTGACCTAAGAAAACAGATCTTCTCACTGAAGAAGCGTCTTCAATCAGCAGAAGAAGCTACTGCAAATGCTAAAGCAGAAGTAGAGGCAGCTGAGTCAAAACTCACACTTATGAATGGGGAACCTGTTGTTGGTGACAATCCTATCAAGTTGAAACGCCTAATAAATTCTTCTGAGAAGGCAAAAGAAGAAGAGGTGTCTTTACGTGAATCCTTGGAAGCAAAAGAAGCTCTGCTCTTTCGTGCCCTTGGTGAAAATGAGGCCTTGTTCCTCTCCTTGTATAAGAACTTCTCTGTTGTCTTGCTTGATCGCCTTCCTGAGGACTCTCCAATCGGAGCATCTCGCCTGCTCTCTAGTCAGACTGACTTGATGACTCTGGATTCTGATGAGCCTGCAGGAATGGATGTAGACCAAGAGAAAGGATTAAACAGTGTGTCTAATGGGGATAAAGGAAGTGCTGCTTACAATCTAAGTGAAACAGACCAATGGGGTTTATCAACACTGGGATATGTCAAGGCAATCACCAGACAATATGCTTCTGAGATCTGGCCACACGTTGAGAAGATAGACGAAGAGATTCTGAGAGGAAATGTGCACCCTCTTTTCAGGAAAGCAGTTTATTGTGGTCTAGGCCGAATAACTGATGAACAATGATTGTGGTATTTACGTATCAGGAAAACAGTTTATTAGGGTCTAGATAGGTTAACTGATGAGCATTGTTCACAATTCGCAAGTTATGTATGGAAAGCATTTTAGTTGTAAATTAGGAATATTTAAAGTTTTTACCTCATAATTGTTGTCTTGATTTTGTTCCAGAATTATGTGATTGTATCTTGTTTGATCTTACTGTAGTTTTAAAATTTATTCTTGCTATTACATGCTTTTTTTCTTTTTTCCTTTTTAAAAAAAAAAAAAAAGTATACTTGGAATTAATTTTAGAATATTAAATTAGGCCATAACCTTTTTGTGGGGTACTAAAAGACAACAAAGTGAATTTTCTGCTTTAGTGAACTTGAAACGTGAAATTCACCGAAGTTTTAGCATCAATCTACATCTGTCCTATCACTAGGACAAACGTTGTTGCTCAATAAAAAGGACAAACTTCGAAGTATGTCACTATGTGGTTGTTGCTTCTTTAGTTGACCCATATAATGATGCTAAGATGATTTGATTTCTTTTGCTTAAGATTTTTCTACGGCAAAATATATTGCATATAGGCTGCCAATGAGCAGATACGTTTGTGAATAACTCGCGAAAAAGCTCGGCCGAAACTTGTTTATTAAGTATTGAACGAGCCTGAACAAAAATATGAGACTTGTTAAGTAAACAAGCCCAACTCGAACACCTTCGTGCTCGGCTTGTTAATGTTCACAAACACTCGTTCATAGCTCGTTAAAAACTCGTACATATGATCGTTCATATACTCATTTATAACTTGTTCAAGCTCGAAACAATTAATTTTATTGTTTTAATTATTCTTAAAATAGTACAATTTTAATATGGAACCAAATCAATTATAATCAATTATCGTATATAAACAAATTAGCCATGTTAATAATACGGAGTACCATATAAAATTAAAATATATGGAGTATTATTGTTAAGAAAATGAATAGTATATTTGCTCAAATTTCTCATTTATATATCAAATATTTATTACTGCCTATCTTGTTGTTACGATGAATATCATCAAACGACTTTTCTGATTGGAGTATACTTATAATTTTTCAAAGTTGATTAATATTAGCTTAATTGAGCTCGTTCACGTTTGAGCTCGTTCACATTAGAGTTTGTTCAAGATCAAGTTCGAATCACAAACGAACGAGCTCAAGCCGAGCTCGAACAAGGCAAAACCTTAATGAACAAAGCTCGAACACAAAATTATGAAGCTCGTTCAAGCTCGAGCATGTTCGAACACTTGAAATCTTTATCAAGCTTAGCTCGAACAAGTAAAAACTCGGCTCGGATCGTTTGCAGTCCTAATTGTATACAAGTCAATCAAGCTTGGTAAGAAAATACTACCATTCATGGTAGCATAAAAAATTAATCCAAAATATTTCCATATTTTATACATGCACTTGAATGTATCTAAACCCAAAACTACATGCACCACAATTGTCTTTACACATTATTTTTTAAAAAAAAAACCCTAGGTGCAGCTATAAGAATTTTAACGCCAATTTAACTTTTTTTTTTTTTTTTTTTTTTTGGGAACGAAGTAGCAAAGGGATAATTAGGAAAAGAAGTTAAGCATTAGAAGTTTTTGAATAATGGGGATCTGTTGAAACTCATTGTAGCCCACTATACATGTTTTCCGATACTAATGATATCATATCTCTAAAAAAATCATTTGGATTCATTAAATGTTACACATGTAATGTGTGGTGATTCGAAAACATGGATTATAGCCTTCACTTTTGGAGAATGTTCAACTTTTTGGACTCAAAAAAAGAAAGAGGAAAGATACTTCTTATAAATAACACAAGAAGACCCTGGGGTGCCATTTGGATGATTAAAGTCATCCACTTTGACTCTTAACTATTAAAATAACTAGTATAGTGATTGCATATGGTTCAAAACAACATAATATGACCTAGTAAAAAAAATTGACCCTAGGGGCCTCTTCTACTATCACTTGGAATTTTTGACCTTAGGTCTCGAAATCTTCAAAATGGTTATATTTAAGTGTTCTAGGGAGGTCTATTTGGTGTTTGGAACCATCTATTTCATGTCTTAGCTCACCCCTCGTAATCTTGTCTTAAGATGCCTTGGCCATGTCTTGCCTAGCTTTGGCTTGGCCTGCCTTCTTGATCATTATTCTTCTCATTAACAATGTCACTAAGGCAAGCCAAGACGTTACCCTCTAAAATATTTTTTTTTTTATTTTTTTATTGATGAAGTGTCAAGTTGTATATTCTATATAATGGATAATCTTGTATAACATGTCATTAAATGCATATAAGAAATTATTTTGATACATAGATAATCTTTTCATGAAAAGACACTTTAAACTCCTGTATTTTAGATAAAAGAATAAATATCCTCACACAAATGGAAACCCTTATTGTAACTTTACCTCAGTTTCACTATTACGTGTCGTTCAAGTTATCTTTGGATCATATCACCAAATGGTTCTCTATAACATATCTAAAGTATAAATTATTTCCTGTTAAAAACCAAATTAAGCTACACAAACTACATTGACTAAATCCACTAAATAATGTTACACCGTTGAAAGACATTCAAAAGTTGTTTACAAACAATCCAAGACAAGAAACTATGTTCAACAATCCAGGTCATAAATTATGGGTCTTGTGGAGTGTAGATAGTCTTTTAATAAGAAATATTTTCCTAATTCAGTTGACGGTTAAATCTTAACAAACAAGTTTGAATATTTTATGACCTAATAATGAGTAAGTAATGAGATAGAATGCTTGAATAGCATATGATTTCTTACCATATTCACATACCAATAATATTTCCCTTAAAAAAAAAACAAATAAGAAAAAAAAAAGATAAGAGAGTATCTAATTATACAAGCCGTAGGATGAATCAAACAAAATCCAACCATCTGATTAACTTGGAAAATCAAATCTGAACCGTCCAAAAATTACAAAAAATTCAATTTCAAAACCTCTGAAACTGAGAGGGAGAAAGCAAAGCCCCTCTCTCATTCTCCTCCTTCTTCTTCAAATCCCCTTTTCTTCTCACTTCTTTCACTTTCTCTCTCCTCAAATTCCCTCCTTTTTTCTTCTCTCCTCAGCTTAAAGATCGCAACTTTATCCAATTTCATCACTCGAACATTCTTGGGTAAATTCTCGATTTTTGTCCAGCTTTGAAAGGATTGTAAATTTGTGTGATTTTGTTCGAGTATATTTGGTGATTTTCTGGGGTTTTTCTCGGAATTTCGATCAAAAAGGTTCTGAATTTGGTGTTTTTTGAAGGGTAGGTTACTGAAATCAAGCTCGGATTTTGATTTCGTTGTGTAATTTTAAGGTTTAGTGTTTTTTGAATTTTTTTTTGTTTTCCCTAAAATTGGAGAACGAAATTGATTGATTGGGGTTAATGGAGGAGGGAGATAAAGGCGGGAATTCGCCTCCGAAACCGAGTATGGCGACTGATATACCGGCGAAGAAGCTCGCTAGGCAGCTTGATTTCACCTCCATTAGTGGCGCGTCTCAGCCACCTACCACCTCAGTAGTTCAGCCCCCTTCTATGCCATCAGCGCAGCCTCCATTGCCTCAGCCGCCTTCGCAGCAGCCGATGATTGCGCCTTCGCAGCAGCCACCTCCTCAAACGCCTCCTCTCCCTTCAATGCGAGTGGTGTAAGAGTTCTAAATTTCCAAATTTTTTCCCTCCTTTTTTAAAGTTTTAATTTAAGTGTTTTTTTGGGATTCATTTGACTTTCTGTTTTGAATTAGGGATCACAATCTTTCATATTTTGGTATATAATCATATTATCTTGTGTGTATTGTAGTTGCATTGTTTGATTAGGCTTTGGTTGTTGATGTTTTGAATTTGGGTTTTTGAATTTGATCAAATGAATTTTGAAATTGGGAATTTTTATCAGTCTATATTACTTCTGAATGTCACATTGCAATGAATTTATTGTTCCTTTGCGATTTTTTAAGTTAAACTGGACCGCTATGTTTTGAAGTTCATATATGTAGAGGGTTAATTGAAGAAAAAAATATTATAAATTCATGGTTTATTATTTATTAGTCTAATCAATGGACTCTATATATGCTTTAAGTAGTATATTAAATACAAGATTGCTCATTTATATAGGATCAATTCAATCCCCTCTTATTTTTTTGAATCCTTGTTGCAATTTCATTTTTTCTTTTCCGGCTTGTTTTTGGATCATTTATTACTAGATTTTCCTTTTCATGATCGCGGTGTTACCTAATATCATCAATGGGATTGGATACCTAAACTGATCCGTAGTCGCGTGATTTCAGAAATGAACATTGTTCTTGGTTAGTGTAAGGGGTCATTGCTTTACATAGACATGGCCTACCCTACCTGTTGCCGGAATTAGGTTACCTGGGATGACATGTGCAGAGCCTCCACCTTTACATTGCTTAAGTCATTTTGATGTTAAAGTTACTAATTTACTATAACATGATTTTGAGTTAAGAGTAAAGAGTTAATTTGAAATGAATTTATGTTGTGTATATATATTGCATACATGCATGTTTGAATGCTTATATTCTTAACAGTTTATAACACACCACTTAAAAAGTTATACTATATTGCTGATTGTTGTAATATTTTTTTCTCCAGAAAGCCAGAATCCCCTAAGGCACGATCACGGCCTACTGTTGAAACCAAAGATGGTACTCCAAAGAGGCAGAAGCAGTGTAATTGTAAACATTCACGATGCTTGAAGTTGTAAGTTCATCATTTCCTCTTTTGGGTTGCATGGCAAGTTCCTGTAACTTTTGGCACTTTTTCACCATGATATTTCAATGTGTGCACTTGCTTTATTACTAAGGTGTCTTGTACCCTAAATGCATCGTCTAGGTGAAAAATGTGTAATAAAATTGTATCTTCAACTTTAGTGTAGCTTAACAATCACTTATCTAAGATTGGTTCACACATTATGAACCTTTGGGGTTTATATAATATTAATTGGAATACGGAGAGTTGTGTTATTTTGAATGTTCTTTGCTGAAAATACAGCATTTCTCTGTGAAATCTGTACAAGTCTTTCATTTATACAGCATTTCTCTGTGAAATCTGTACAAGTCTTTCATTTATACAGCATTTCTCTGTGAAATCTGTACAAGTCTTTCATACGATCTATTCCTTGCACATTGCACGTGCTGTCTTGTATAGCAGTAAAGAAGCTAGTTCCTTCACAACTCCCTCTTATTTATTTATTTATTTATTTTGGCTTGATCATAGTTTATCTCCACTTAAGGCTTGATTAATTTGCATAATCTATGATGATAAACTTCTCGCATGAGGTACTTGTATTTACATAGAAAATAAAAAAATCAAGGCCGTTCCTTAATCATAGCAAACCCTACTTTGTTTTTTTCAAGCATACACTTTGCAGAATAATTTCATTGTGGCAGTTATCTTATATTTCTAAAAGGCTTCTAGGTTAAGCAAGGTAAGAGAGGTTTATCACGTGCTACCATCCACATTTCCAATTGGTCTATGTCATTACCAACTACTTCATTGCATAAGGGCTTATATTCTCTACAGTTTCAACCTGGAAATGGACAGTGAAAAGAATCTTATTTGCAAATAGTGGTAAATACCCCCTCCGTCCCTATTTTTATGCCCTGTTTTCCTTGTTGGAATGTTCTTAAATATATGTCCACTCCATTTATTGTCATATGGTCCCACCACTTCACTCTCTCATTAACTACATATTATCCCACCACCCCAATTATAGATAGATAAATGAATCATATAATTGTGAAAGAAGAGAATGAGCAATGAAACAGAAGTTGCGATACAGTTCGCACTGACCAAAATATTCCAAATTTCTCATCCTTTGAAAGACATTATAGCTGTTTTGAGTTTAGATTTTGAGCCTGTGCTTGTTAAACTTCGCAGACAATTGATATATATTAGATCAGAGGTGACTAAGAATAACCTGTTTGATGATTGATCCCAAAAGTTATATTACACCTCCACTGGCTCCACGACTCTACCAGACCTTATCTTCCCTAGGGCAAGTCATGGGAGCTTCTTGTAAAGGCATTACGGTAACATTATAATTCTTATAACCCTATCCAAAAAATGACTGACTTGTATGAATTTATGCACTCCATCTAGAATTAGTTAACTCACTATCCCGACCCCTTTAGGGATAGATAAGACACAAACTAAAGAATTCAATTATTAAAACTATTATTTTAGAAAGGTGACTCCTTTTTCTCAACTCCTAAACTTTTCCAATACTATATGTGACTTTTAATTCTAGATGGAAGGAGTATTTAATTAGTTACTTGACTGCTTTTCTTGAGGAAGTTTAATCAAGTCTTTCTCAGTTTACTTAGCACAACTTATACCCTTCTCTTTTCTTTTTATTTTTCCCTTTATTTGGTGGATGGGAGTGGGATGGGAAGGTTACAGGGATGATTTGGGTGATATAAGTGTTGGAATATCTATGGAGGTTCTATGCTGTGCCTGTCATTGGTTACAGAAGTAAGGTTGATCACCTGCCTCAGCTGCATCACCAAAGTTTAATATCTGTTAGACTGTATTTCTGACAGAGCCTGTTGGGACTTACAAATAACATAGAACAAGGTCAAGAGGCCTCAGCTTGTTATGCTGACTTTTATTCACCAAACAGTATGCCGTTATGGCATATATAATTGACAGGTCAACAGTTGAATGGGCATGAATGCTTGTGCTAGATTATGATCTACACTGAAGATATTATTTATGTATTTATTATACTCCAATCTTTATCATAAAATGTGTCAATCTTCAGGAAAGATAAAAATAAGAGAGATACCATTTATTGTTTTAATCTTTTGCTAATTTCCTAACATAAGTGTTTCCTTTTTTCCTAATGAAGAAACTTTAACACCTTTGCAAAAAACTCTTAAAAGGTTTGGGCAACTTTACGTTGTGGAGGAAGTTGATCTAGAGTAATAAATAAGCGACCAGTTATTGTTTTAATCTTTTGCTAATCTCCTTACATAAATGTTTCCTTTTTGTCCTTTATGACTTGAAAACATCTCTTAAAAGAAGTTGGGCAGCTTTATGCCGTGGGGAAGTAAATCTAATTACCTAAAACAATAAATGAGTGGATTTCGACATACGAGCAGTTGCTACATACTCCTTCCGTTTTTTTGTCTTTCTATCTTTTACATTTATCCACTTTTAGACAATATGAACACCACTTTTAATCTCACATTAGTTACATACACTTGAAAATATCAAGTTTAACCATCTCTGTACAAACCTCTATTTTGGTGAAAATGCTAATGAGTAAATTAGAAGAAGAAAAAAAAAACTTGGAGGGAGTATATGCTAGGTTGTGTATATACTATAGACCGAATTTACTGCTCCATTTGTACTGCACAAGCTGTTTTCTGTATATCTCGACTTTTCCCTAAATATTACCAATTTTACTGAATTTAAAGCTCATAGTCAAATTTTTGTAAGCCTTTTGTTCTTGTGAGATTATCGTGCTAGATTTGTGGTTTTTAAGCTCGTGTCCGTGAAAATGCAATTCTGGGACTTACATGTGTTGTGCAGGTATTGTGAGTGCTTTGCTTCTGGAGTTTACTGTGATGGGTGTAACTGTAATAATTGCTGTAACAATGTCGAGAATGAGACTGCTCGAAGAGATGCTGTTGAAGCTACTTTAGAACGTAACCCAAATGCATTTCGACCAAAAATTGCAAGCAGTCCACATGGCATTAGAGACCGCAGGGTATGTTTCTTTTTTGTATTGATATTCAGTTATTCACCTCTCTCCTAGATAATTGAATATTGGAAGTTATGGAATCTTCCGTCATTTCATCTCAGTACCAGTGTATACTTTGTCTGAAAATCTGAATTCTAAGAAATAAGAATACTGATGTCTTCACAGGCTCTGTAAAATTTTTAGCAATATGCCTTGGTATTGGGTGCATCAACTCTTAACTGGTAAATGATACTATGATGCATATTAAGAAGACTTAAGCTCTTGTAGCATCCATAAAATTCCATTTACTATTGTGACATAATCTATAACCTTAGAAAATCTGTTCCAACTTAACCGGAAAAATGTTCAATAATGTGCTTTGCAATATAAGCTAGAAACACAAATTAATATGTTCAGACATTTAATTACTTTGTTACATATCTGAAATACTCAATAATGACTGTTTTACCACAATGGAATTGGATGTACATTTGTTATTTTCTTTCAAGGTTAAGTCGCCTTTGCAGTTATCTTTATACTTGCCTATGAAATTTTAATATGTCCACTAATCAACTATCAACCAAATAATGCTACGAATACGAATGAATCTTTCGGTCTGGAGGTACTTCATTTACTAGTCGTTATATCTGTTAATCAAATGATGAAAGTGGTTGTAATCATGATCCATTGCTTGATGGTTTCAATTCATTTTCTGCAAAGCTAAATACTTTATATCTATTGAAGTTTGAAATTACAGCTATTGTAAGTGATTATTCATAGACAAAATAATATTTTGGCATTACGTTCGCTACTAGGTTTTTTTTAGTATGCATATGCTTACTTCATATGGCTATCGTTTATACAGGAAGATGCTGGAGATGTTGTGGTGGCAAAGCACAACAAGGGATGCCATTGCAAAAAGTCAGGGTGTCTGAAGAAATACTGCGAATGCTTTCAAGCTAACATTCTATGCTCTGAAAACTGCAAATGTATTGATTGCAAAAATTTTGAAGGAAGTGAAGAGCGGCAGGCTCTTTTCCATGGAGAACATGCAAATAACTTAAGTTACATGCAGCAGGCAGCCAATGCTGCTATTACCGGAGCTATTGGATCATCTGGTTTTACTTCTACCCCAAATTCCAGGAAACGAAAGGGCCAGGACCTCTTATTTGGGCCAGCATCTAAGGATCCGTCTCTTTCAAGAGTCGGGCAATTTCAGCAGGTAATTCGGTAATCACTCATCAGTCACAAAGTCGCAATATACAAATTTCAAATTGCTAATTCATGTATATGCATCTGTTTTGTTACCAGAAAGCTCATTTACTTGCATAATTGCGTGATCTTCTAATTATGGATACTTTCATTCAACATGATCTAAACTTTCCGGTGCACTTCCCGGGTTGTATTTATATTCACAATTGACATAACTTCTTAATCAGGCAAACCATGTCAAAACATCAGGACCGTCTGCAGTATCTCTAAGCCCTGCTTCTCGAGCTGCTAATTCTGTTTCACTAGGTGCTTCAAAGTTTACATACAGGTAACTCTTGTTACTGTTGAAACTCAGAAATAATGCATCAAGAATATCTTCTTTGAGGCATGAGTATGTATATTTTAACTTAAATAGGTTTCAAACTAATTTTTGAATCTCGATAATAGGTCTCTCTTAGCCGACATTATCCAACCACATGATGTGAAGGAGCTTTGCTCAGTTTTGGTAGTTATATCTCAAGAGGTTGCCAAGACAATTGCAGGTAAACATTTGATTCAACTATGAGGAACTGTTATCTAATATGGACATATTTCTTGGCATCCATGCCTGGATAGAAAGTTGCACATCTCTGGGGACCTTTCAAGAAAATTCTTTATGCCTTTATCAATCAAAGCCTTAATCCCATAAGTGGGTATTGATAAACTTAAATTCTGCAAAAGATTCTTAATCACCTTATGGTGTCAAAACTTACGGGTAGCACATCTCTGGGGATCTTTCAAGAAAATGGATTTTGGTTTGATAGATATCAGTGTGTCCAACTCATCATGTTGAGTTTTCTCCGTAAATATTGATTTGCTTGATTGTTTAGCTGTTTGTTTGCACATTTATGTGCTGTATCATCAACCTTGGTATGCATTTGCAATTTTTAGTGGCATGTTTCTAGAATTAGAGGTAGCTAGTTCACACATGCCACATTTTTCCAGTAGATGCTACCAACATCAACATATTCCAGTAGATGCCACCAATGTAGAAAAGATAAGTTGCTGGTGGTTGGAACTTGGAAAAGTCCTCAATCCTTTTAATAATTAGTCATACTTCCTCCGTTCTCTTTTAGTTGCAACATTTTGACTTTCACGCTTGCCAATTCTTAATTTAACTCATTATATCTCTAATGTAGATAGGTAAAAAATAAAAATATTTGATTCTGTGAAAATATAAATCGAGATGAATCTAACAAGATCTTACATGACTAAATTTTGCCCACCATTTAAATCAATAAAGGTGGTCAAATGAAACAACATGAATAGTGCAAATTTCTAAATGTTGTAGCTAAAACCAAACGGATGAAGTAGTTAGGTACTATGTCACACAACTTATACAAGTAAAGAGTCTACTGTCATACATTGCCATTCTCTTAGCACCACAAGCTTCATCTATGTAATGGCTAAGAATTAAGATATGCAAGGTGGGGTGGGGTTATATAATAAAGGTGAATTTTGGTATTGCTCTCATTGTTATCTATGAAAGTGCAACTCGTAAGTCTATAACATCTCTGTCATTTTCACATACAGGCTTTTAGAATTGGTGCAATTTGACATCTGAGTACATGAATCAATATTTTTTTTTTTTTTTAATTAATCTTTATATCTGGAAGTGATGTTCTTTCTTAAACAATTTGTGCCATTGATCTTTCAAGAATTCCTCTTATGAGGTTAACTTTATCATAAACAAATGTTTGTTATATGTATCATTGTTTGTTATAAATAGTCCTCAGCGTTTAATGACTCTAATAATGTTTGATGGCATTAGATTGTGCTTAGATGGTATCACAACAAATTCTAATTTGGTACCTTGGGCCATGGTAATACCATCTAAGCACAATATAATACCAACGAACATTCTTAGTGTCATTGATAGAGAATTTCTTGGTGACTGAGGTGATATAGCTAGAACATCTCACTAAAGGAGGTGTGCTTCTTGCTACCTGTCAAGTTTTCTTCCAGCCATTAGCTTTTATAGAGGAGATTAGTCTTACTTATGCTGGAAACCTGGACATGTGCCTTTTAATTTATTCTACTTAAAGTACTAATATATTTCATAGTTATGTTGTGTAAAGAAGTTTTTTTTTTTTTTGTTTTTTTTTTTAAAAGAAGTTATACTCAAGCAAAATTGATGTTGATTTTCTTACGGCTATTGCTGCCACTGTGACTTACTCATTACCACCTTAATTTGCCTTTATAATGATTTTTTTCTCTTTTGTGGATGAAGTATAAATAAATTGTTTTAACGATTTTGGTGCAAAAATACTTTTGAACATAATGCTGAAGACATAGACTACAACAGTTAAAATTTGAATTTTTCCTCTGTTGAGATATAATGTCTTTGTGCCTTCAATCTGAGTGATGATTATATGTTTCCTCTTACAGAATCTAATAAAGCTAACGAAAAGCGGGCAGATGATGGAGGAGAAAATCAACAGGCATCAACTCAGGACAGATTTCAGAGTCAAGAGGAATCAGATGTGAAAACCGTACCTGATGGTTCTGTCAGTGGTAATCAAACTGATCGAATAGTCCCTGATGATTCTAATTTAGATGGGAATGATCAACCGAAATCCAGGCCAATGTCTCCTTTGACACTAGCTTTGAGGTGTGATGAGCAAGATACAATGTTCATGGCTGCGGGTTCTCCGAGTAGGTTAGGCAACCATGTCCATGCGTCATCTTCACAATGTCCAGAGCAGAGCACTTCAGAGGTTTATGCCGAGCAAGAGAGAATCGTCATGATGAAGTTTAGAGATTGCCTCAACAGGCTAATAACATTTGGAGAACTAAGAGGTGAGTGTGTTATTTCTATCAAAATTAGCAGTTTAAAACTTGCAATAGCAGTATCATTATTTCTTTGAGGGTTTCATAAATTTGATCTCAGGGTTCAATATCCAATTGCATTTGATAAATTTAAACCTATGAATATTAATTGTAAACAATTTTGCATGAAGTTTCATATCATTTCGATCAGGTTTAGTGGTCTAAAATTCGTAGTAACCCTGTGAGAATATCATCATTCCTTTAAGCATTTTTTGTGTATTGAGCAAATGTGAGCTTAGGGTTCATTTTTAAAGTTAACCTTGCTAGACCTTAAATCCTAAGCCTTGTGAACAATACTAGTATTCTGATTTGCATATAATATATGTGTAATGTACTGGTTTTATTAGTGAAATGATCATCTTATTGGGTCAGACTCCCCCCCCCCCCACCCCCCCTTTTTTTTTTCGTCACCATTCACTCTACTTTTCTTTTGATCCATTTAGGCAGTCAATCAAAATAAAATATTCTTTACCATCCTGGTATGGGGAATGATATTCTGAGGGTTCTTTTTTTTGTGAGAACCGTTGTTTGTTCGGAAATCTTATGAAACAAATGCTTGATATCATGTAGTAAGTCTTCCTCTCATAGATTGAAGTAGAAGCCAAGTTTCAAAATTCTCTGTTATGTATACAACTAGACTAATTAACTAGATTGCTATACAAGAATGAAACCATATACGAAGTATTACAATAGTGTAAAAAGAAATAATGGAGAAATACCATGATTATAATAATACAAATAGGGTCTTCTTAAACCTATATTTTTGCCAACACCCTATATATTCATATGGTGTTGCTTTAACCAGAGTTTTTCAATTTGTGACAAAGATCGTCTTTTCTGTAGGTCTTGTTATACTCAGTTATAAGAACTAGGAAGGTGAAGGTGTAAGTTTAATACTTTAATGAGAGAAAAGGGGAAGGGGTGGGGGGGGGGGGTGGTGTCATTGGAGGTTGTGGTGGAGGACAAAACTAAGAAGGAAAGAAAAGCTACTCGTAGTAAATAACACACGCCTGTTTCTTGAGGCTCCTACGTAAAAATAGGTCTAGGTGATGCTGCTTACATCTTTTATATTGATGTGTTTCCCTCTTTTTTTAATTGGCAAAGCTTAATTTTAAAATCAATCTAGCTATTTGGCCAAAACAATTAGATTCATAGAGTATGCTCCTTTCCTTTGCAGTCTTTATGAATAAGTGCTAGTTTAAGAAGGTATCTTTTAATACAAATATCATTTATTTGTTTCTGACAATTTTGTGTTTCTCTGTACAGAGACAAAACTTTCTTCCTTAGCTAGATCTAATTATACAAGCTTTCAAGAAACCGGCAATGGCACTGCCAAATTGAGAACTGATGGTCAGAATCAGCAAGAGCATAACGACAATGGTACAGCTAAACCTGTCATTACAGCACCCACCAAGACTCCTGCAATGATTGCAGCTACCATTACTGGTGTTCCGTTCAACAATCATACCGACCAAAATCCTCCTCCGACTGAAAATGGTGATGTAAAGCCAAGCATCAAAAAGGACTAGAATTATATACATAAACGATTCGGAGATTGCACTGACAAGCCAAGCTGCTGTGCTGATACAAGATGGTGATGATGTTAGTAGTCATTTCACTGTCAGAATCTCCCTAATTTAAACAACTGACTAATGTCATTGTAGTTCAAGATTAATATGTCCAAAGGATGTAAAATTGATAATTTGTATACATGCACTAGTATCTTGTATTGGTAGATGCTAGTGTTTTTTTTCCGGTCATTTAGTTTAGCCTAAGATGGAGCAGTTTTTTTTTTTTTCCTTTGTGCTCTTTATAAGAATTTGCTGTTATTTATAACAAGCAGCCAATCATTATACTATAGCATTGTACATGGGATATCTGCTTACCTTCCTTTCACTATAAAGGTGAAATAGTAGTTGATTTTTCCATTACAGTTTCAATAAGCTTATGCAGTGAAAGTTTTATCATGAGCGCGGTCTTTATCCACTGTGTGTGTATGTTGTACTCCGGATTACTCGTTTTGTTCCCCCTTCCCAGATAGGTTGAGAAAACACACACTGGAGGAGCAAAGAAACCCAAAACTGAAGGCAAGGTTTGTTATACCACTCATGATTGCCTTAGTTACGAGTGTGAAGTCAGTTTCGATTTAAAACTGTATTGTTTGGTAATGTTACCAACATTGACTGTAGAGCTGTCAAAAGTTGACCCGACCCGAAATACCGACTCAAACCCGATTATTAACCGACCCATCTGAACCCGAAAAAATGTTGACCCAAACCCGACCTGACCCGACCTGAAATCAACCCTAGACCCGAGTTGACTCGAGTATGTGAGACCCGAACATGAACTGACCTGGAAATGACCCGTCCCGAATGTAACCCGTAAATTATTGACTTGAACCAAACCCGACTTGAACCAAAATTGACCCAAACCCGTTTTAACCCGTCAAAACCCGAATTTAACTCGACTTGTTACCAATCTGACTTGAATTCAACCCAACCTGTTCCTAACCCGACCCGAAATTAACCCAACCTGTTACAAACCCGACTTGTTATTGACCTGACCCAAATTCAACCCGACTTGTTATTGACCCGACTCAAATTTTACCAGACCTATTACCAACTCGACCCAAAAATTCAACCCGATCTGTTACTAAACCGACTCGAAATCAACACGACTTGTTATTGACCCGACCTAAATTCAACCCAAATTGTTCCTGACCCGATTTCAAATCACCTTAAATGCAATTTAGACCACCTTATTATTGTTGATCAAAGCATTTTGTCTAGGGAGACCAAGTCGGTCCAAACCAGCCAAAGAAAGGAGCATCATCCTCAAATAAAAGAGTTAAATATAGTATATATTTGTTGTATGGTCAAAGGAGATAATTGTCTTCCTAAATGATAAACTATAGTTCCCTAGTATATTGCCATATATATTATAGTCAAAGGAAATAATTAGCTTGATAAAAATGATAATTATCAATTTATAGTTAATTGAACCCGAATATGACCTGACTTGGAAATGACCCGAGCTGATTGTAACCTGCAAATTATTGACTTGAACATAACCCGACATGACTCCGAGAATGACCCGACTTGAAAATGACCCAACCTAATTATAACCCGCAAATTACTGATTATAACCCGACTTGAACCCGAGAATGACCCAACCTGATTATAACCCACAAATTATTGACTTGAACCAAACCCGACTCGAACCCGAGAATGACCCTACCTGATTCTAACTCGCAAATTATTGTCTTGAACAGAACCCGACCTGACTCGAACCTTAGAATTACCCTAACCCGTGAAAACCCAAATTAAACCGGACCTATTGTTCACCCGACCCGAATGTAACCCGACCTGTTATTAATACGACCTTAACCCGATAAGAAGTATGACCTGACGTGACCCGACTCAAGCATGACCCAACCCAAACCCGAGCCGCATAAGTTATGGAATAATCCGAATTGACTCAAACCGAGTTGACCAAACCCACTGTTACCGACCAAAACCCAACCCGTTTACCCGAATTATTTACTTTTTGACACCAGGTCTCAAATCCTCCAAAAATTTTCAAAAAGCGTGGATATTAGCCTTCAATTTTGAAATTTTTGACTTTTTTTCGCCTGAAAATAAAAATTGCCGAAATGTTTACCATGGTCCCTTATACCGTCCGGGAGTCCCATTGGGTGGGTGGAACCACCCAATTTGCTTTTAAACGACCAATTTACTGGTTTACAACTTGCACCGATTTCATTAACTCAAGTCCACCACAAACATTTATGACAACAAATAATGATCATATATAGTTCCAAAAAAATTATATGACCTCAAGATATATCCCCTAAAATTTCAAAAATTTTCGACACTAGGCCCCGAAACATCCAAAGTTTCTCAAAAAGCGTAGATATTAATCTTCAATTCTAGAATTTTTTTACTTTTTTTCGCCTAAAAATAAAAATTGCCGAAATGTTTACCATGGCCCCTAATATTCTCTGGGGGTCCAATTGAGTTTTTTGAACCATCAAATTTGCCTTTAAACAGCCAATTTAATTACCGGTTTGCAAGTTGCACGGATTTCATTAACTCAAGCCTACTACGAACATTTACGACAACATATAATGATCATATATGGTTACAAACGACATTATATGACCCCGAGATGTATCCCCCAAAATATTAAAACTTTTCTACACCGTTCCCCGAAACCTCCAAAATTTATCAAAAAGCATGGATAGCCTTCAATTTTGGAATTTTTTGAATGAATTTCGCCCGGAGATAAAAATTGCCGAAATGTTTACCATGGTCCCTAATACCCTCCGGGAATCTAATTGGCTGGGTAGAACTATCCAATTTGCCTTTAAGCGACCAATTTACCGGTTTACAACTTGCACCGATTTCAATAATTCAAGCCTACCACGGACATTTAAGACAACAAATAATGATCATATATGGTTCCAAACGGCATTATATGACCCCGAAATATATCCCATAGAATTTCAAGACTTTTCGACACCGGTCTCCGAAACCTTCAAAATTTCTCAAAAAGCGTGGATATTAGCCTTCAATTTTGGAATTTTTTGACTTTTTTTCGCCCAGAAATAAAAATTGCCGAAATGTTTACCATGGTCCTTAATACCCTCCGGGAGCAATTGGCTGGGTAGAACCTTCCAACTTGCCTTTAAACGACCAATTTACCGGTTTACAACTTGCACCGTTTTCATTAATTCAAGCCTACCACGAACATTTAAGACCACAAATAATGATCACATATGGTTCCAAATGGCATTATATGACCCCGAGATGTATCCCGTAGAATTTCAAGACTTTTCGACACCGGTTCCCGAAACCTCCAAAATTTCTATAAAAGCGTGGATAATTAGCCTTCAATTTTGGGATTTTTTAACTTTTTTTCACCCGGAAATAAAAATTGCCGAAATGTTTACCATGGTCCCAAATACCCTCCGCGAGTCCAATTGGATGGGTAGAACCATCCAATTTGCCTTTAAACGACCAATTTATCGGTTTAAAACTTGCACCGATTTCATTAATTCAAGCCTACTATAGACATTTAAGGCAACAAATAATGATCATATATGGTTCCAAACGACATTAAATGATCCCAAGATGTATCCCATATAATTTCAAGACTTTTCGACACCGGTCCCTAAACCCTTCAAAATTTCTCAAAAAGCGTGGATATTAGCCTTCAATTTTGGAATTTTTTGACTTTTTTTCGCCCGGAAATAATAATTGGCGAAATTTTTACCATGGTCCCTAATACCCTCCGGGAGTCCAATTGGTTGGGTAGTACCATCCAATTTGCCTTTAAACAACCAATTTACCGGTTTACAACTTGCACCGATTTCATTAATTAAAACATACCACAGACATTTAAGACAACAAATAATGATCATATATGGTTCCAAACGGCATTATATGGCCCCGAGATTTATCCCATAGAATTTCAAGACTTTTCGACACCGGTCCCCGAAGCATCCAAAATTTCTCAAAAAGCGTGGATATAAGCCTTCGATTTTGGAATTTTTTAACTTTTTTTCACCCGGAAATAAAAATTGCCGAAATATTTACCATGGTCCCTAATACCCTCCTCGAGTCCATTTGGATGGGTAGAACCATCCAATTTGTCTTTAAACGACCAATTTATCGGTTTAAAACTTGCACCGATTTCATTAATTCAAGCCTACTATAGACATTTAAGGCAACAAATAATGATCATATATGGTTCCAAACGACATTATATGATCCCGAGATGTATCCCATATAATGTCAAGACTTTTCGACACCGATCCCTGAACCCTCCAAAATTTCTCAAAAAGCTTGGATATTAGTCTTCAATTTTGGTATTTTTTGACTTTTTTTCGCTCGGAAATAATAATTGCCGAAATATTTACCATGGTCCCTAATACCCTCCGGGAGTCCAATTGGCTGGGTAGTACCATCCAATTTGCCTTTAAACGACCAATTTACCGGTTTACAACTTGCACCGATTTCATTAATTAAAACCTATCACGGACATTTAAGACAACAAATAATGATCATATATGGTTCCAAATGGCATTATATGACCGCGAGACGTATCCCATAGAATTTCAAGACTTTTCGACACCGGTTCCCGAAACCTCCAAAATTTCTATAAAAACGTGGATATTAGCCTTCAATTTTGGAATTATTGACTTTTTTCGCCCGTAACTAAAAATTTTCGAAATGTTTACCACGGTCCCTAATACCCTCCGGGAGTCCAATTGGCTGGGAAGAACCATCCAATTTGCCTTTAAACGACCAATTTACTAGTTTACAACTTGCATCGATTTCATTAATTCAAACATACCACGGACATTTAAGACAACAAATAATGATCATATATGGTTCCAAACGGCATTATATGACCCCGAAATGTATCCCATAGAATTTCAAGACTTTTCGACACCGGTCCCCGAAAACTTCAAAATTTCTCAAAAAGCGTGGATATTAGCCTTCAATTTTGGAATTTTTTGACTTTTTTCGCCCAGATATAAAAATTGCCGAAATGTTTACCATGGTCCCTAATATCCTCCGGGAGAAATTGGCTGGGTAGAACCATCCAATTTGCCTTTAAACGATAAATTTACCGGTTTACAACTTGCACCGATTTCATTAATTCAAGCCTACCACGGACATTTAAGACCACAAATAATGATCACATATGGTTCCAAATGGAATTATATGACCCAAGATGTATCAAATAGAATTTCAAGACTTTTCGATACCGGTTCCCGAAACCTCCAAAATTTCTCAAAAAACGTGGATATTAGCCTCTAATTTTGAAATTTTTCGACTTTTTTTGGCCTGGAAATAAAAATTGGCGAAATGTTTACCAAAGTCCCTAAACCCTCCGCGAGTCCAATTGTTTGGGTAGAACC